GAGGATGCTGAGAATGTGGAAGAGGAGGATGCTGGTAATGAAGAGGATGCGGTAGAGGCAGGGCCAGATGACAAGCAAGAGGATGATCAGTTACAACTTGGAGAGGTGGAGATCGAGACAGACAATGAGCTGTCTTCCAAGGAAGCTGATCGCAACAAACAGGACCAGGATCAAGAGAACAATGCCTGTAATACAGCATGCATGTTATCAACCCCACATGTTCACTGTACATGTATCTCTCACATTAACACATCACCATGTTCATACTTCTTTCCTTGGTCTCTGAAAGAGAGCACCATCACCCCCCCCCCAAAAAAACAAGAACGATTACTTACCACTTTGCACATCTTCAGTGTGGTTTGACTATGTACATAACCACTAATAAAGTAACATTTTTGACAACATTTTGCTTTGAAGGCAGATTGAGTGAACCACACTGACTGATTTGGAATTCTTCTTCGATTACTCTTCAGAATCACAAACCACCATTTGACTGCTCAAGTCTTCCAAAGTTCTATTAATTTACTGGAGTTTAATGTAAAATCTAAACATTGAGTTGTAACGGTCTTGGAAGAAGTCAGCTTCCATCTTCATACACTTACATGTAACTTCATGATATAACTCTACAATGACTGCCAAGCTTGGGAGATTTTAGAACCAACCTTTCTTTCTTTGAAATTTCATCAGAGGCTTAGAATGGTATCCAAAGGAAGATAAAATTAAATTTTTGTTTCATTTTCTTCTGCTGAGGTTTTAAGAAATGAAAGACAGTTTTTCCAAAGAACGTACATGTCACATGGCAGTATTCAATGTCAAGTCCTTTCTTAAGTCTCTTAAAGTAAACAGAAATACAAGATGAGGTTGCAGCAATCAGGCCAAAGCTCCAAGGCAGTGTTGGCCGAGTCATCCCTAAACAAGAAGGAATATAAGTGATTGGAATACACTTGAAAAGGGTGTGAAAGAAATTTTATTTTCATTTCTTTTTACGTATAATTGTACATGTTAAAAAAGACACAGAATACTTTCAGAGAAGACCAATAATTGGGATGAAACGGTTACAGCAGAGACAAAGAGGTGTAAGAAACTCATGTTTATGGCAGAGCTCAAGTCCAACTCCTCTAGCAAATACTGGGACATTTTCAGTGGAGCTATTTGTACCAATACTCAGATTTAATCTCGTAATCAAAATCACTTGCTCTCTCCAAGGTTTTCAGTCTTGATCCCAACTTCACCACCCTCATATTTCAGAGTCCGAAAAGGGCTCGACTACAATACATGTAGATAACGGATAACTCACTTTTACAGAGTAGGTCTTTCCGTGCTTGATAGCCAAATTGTGTGCTTAGCAGCCAGGGCCCATTGTCAACCAATGCTAAGCACACATTTTTTGCTGAGCACAAAACGCCTTTTCACACTCTTATGTTTGTAATCACCCTTTCGTGTCAACCCCTGGTAGTCCTCTTCAGATGCTGTGTGTTTTCTTTGTTGATGACTGTAGAAATCCTCCAATAAACTGAACGTGATTGTCGTGTACTTTCTTCTTCATTTGTGCATGTAGAACTAATACTGAATAGACAGTGTGTATCTTCAGCTCCGGTTGTGTTGTGTGTACCCGTGAATTGTTGTGTAAATCGCTATTGAAGTACGACTCATTCGATTTCAGATTCCTTTTGCAGTGGATTTGAAAGACTTCTCTAACCAGGTGCTGCTTGGAAACGATGACAAGAAAGCACAGCAGTAGTTTCAATGGGCGATTTTCCAAATAGTGCACCACTAAGAGTTTGCAGTGCGGTGGCCACTGTACACAGTGCACATTTGAATGGCTTGACACGTTCGGACGTGCTGATTGGTAATGCACGTTTGGAAAGGGTGCGACACTTTTCGTGCCTTGCAATTGGCCAACACGTTGTAAACTCTCGGTGGCACACTATTTGGAATCGCCCATATTGGAAAGCAAGATTTTGGCTCTAGATATACCTACTGTATACCTACCTTATAGCTATAACCTAAGAATCCTTGACACGTTTTACTTGCATAGTCAGAGTTCCTTATTTGATTGCTATATCCTTGTTGACTTGCTTACGTTAGTACTGAGATTATCCTTTCACCAGTGTGATTTTAGAAACAACTTATGTGGACTGCCCAAAAGTATCCCTTACTTTCATGAGAGACATATCAGAGACAGATCCAGACACAAGATTGAACCTGGTCCACAAGTGAGAACTGTGGGTGTGTACACATTCAAATGAAAACTGGAAACATATTTATGCCATATGTGCATGTGAATCAGTACACGTGTGTATTGTGTCACACTAAGTGGAACTCTTGAGAGTGGTCAGACTGTACCATTGCTTTTACCATTCAGTGTTCCCACCCAAGCTGTCTGACAGTACCAAATGTAGTTTGCATCAGAGCTATAGGACGGTGCCAGCTTGAGATTGTGGAATCAAGATGGCTGTTATTATGTGTGCAGTTCCAATTGCAGCTATTCTGTGCTAATTTTCCAGGTGCAGTAATGCATAATCCACCATTTTGGTTCCAATAATTGAGACACTCATGTTGCAATGCCAGGTGTACAGTTCTTCTGCAGTCCCCATCTTGCTTTTCAATTTCTGAGAAAAGGCACAGTTCTAGATTGAAAAAAGGCAAGACACGCAGACAAAACAAACAAGAACAAGACAGAAGTAGTTTTGGAGGAACTGTTTGTTAGAAATGGGTTATTATGTGCGTTTGAAGGAAGTATTCCTGTCGCTGAGAGACCTGGTCGGAAAATGCTCTGTTTTAAAGCAGTTCAGGAGACACTGTAACACTGAGGACGAGTGTTAAAGTTTCCTGGCACTCTGTAGAACTGTATCTGAGCTGTAACAGGATTAACGTTGTTGTCTTCTGGAATTTGAAAGGTTTGACTGTTTTGTACTTTTTTACCCAGACGAAAACAAGCAACAAGCAGCAGACTATCCAGACCACGACAACAATCAGGACAATGGAAACGACCGAGGAGATGCACCCAACAACGATATCCGACATCACTACGATGCTGGAGACGCTCAGGGCAATGAGGCGGGCAGAGCCAATGAGGTTTACGACGAGGGAGACCATGTATAGCGAGCCTGAATGGGGGTCTGCTGTCTGTTGTATTTCAAAGTTTGCATGAAGTTTTCTCTTTACACTGAGGGTTGTCATGTTTTTTCCTTTTCCACCCTTGTCAAAATGTCAAAGGCATAAATAAAACAGGTCACACATAACAGAACTATTTAAGCTCAATAACACAGTTCAAAACAGTGGATGAGAAAGAAACTTGTGACTTTTCCTTGGACATACACGTAATGCCTCACTTCTTCCAGTTGAAATTGGTGGAATCACTCCACAGATTCAATGTCACAGAAATATTACACTTGGGGAAAAAAACAAAAATGCAAGGCTTGTGTGAAACACAGAAATTGCAATAATTGATTAAATTTTGGTGGTTGGGGTGTAATTAGCATGCAATTTAGTTCAAGGAAGCCACTGTGACTTACTTCTTTTGTTTAAAAATTAAACCATACAAATTAATTTGATTTTTTTCCCATTTCAAAAATTACTCAGCTACCAAAGGTAGAGAGTCAGAGAGCCATGACTAGGCCCTCCCTACATCAAGGGACAACGTCTTTTTTTAGGAAAGTAGGATTTGTATTGTGGGGAGAAAAACTTGTCTCTGTAACATTTTATTTTTATTTTTTTTATTATTTATTTCAGCATGTGTGTGTTTCCCATAACCTGGAAACAAGTAAGGTAGTATGGGTGCTCTTGTGTGTGTAAAAACACAGAAGAAGTCTTAATGACTTATTGTTGAGAACTTATTTAACTCATTATTTGTCAATGAGTTTTTTAGACCTCAGAAAAGAAAGTGTCCCATTTTGTTGGAAAGTTTTATGACTGTCCACTGGATGTATACCTATACTCTGAAGTGAGTATCATGAAATGGCAATGGTCAATATTTCCTGGTAATAAAACTCCGATCTGGCTTACACCCCCATCTCCAATGAAGCACCCAAAATCAACACTGCTTTTTCAATCAAAGTGTGGACTAAGATTTTCCTAAGATACTAAGATTTTCCCATAATCATAGAGGCCTGCGATTGGCATCCAAACTGTACTCTGACACAGGAGAGTGGGACAAGATGCATGCAATATCAGGTTGTGAGTGCGAGATGTATGTTATTTACACTACATTCCATTGTTTTGATAAGATGAATTGTTTTCAAATTATTGCTGTGTGACTTGTGTGTCAAGTGCCGTATACCATTAACACGCCAACATGGTGCTGCCTAGCTTTTATCTGTCTGCTGTAAATTCAAATGAAGTCGCAAGTTGTTTGCGTGATGATGTTTTGTCTAGTTTTACTGAGGCTAAGCCTGAAGAGGAGAGTTTGTATATGGGGGTTGCCCCCCCCCCCAGATTGTTGTTTCTGTGTTGCTGAAAGCTTGGTCATGGCAAACCCTGGTAGTTTCTTTTAAAGCTACTTAAGTGAGCATTTTCTCTTATTAGTCTGAGACACAGGCTCATGTTTTTTTAGAAGGCTTTGTAAAATCCAAAGAACAGGCATGCTACTCCAAACTTCCTATGATGGCGTACAGTCAGTTCATTGAATTGGGGAATTTTGAAGTCAAGTGATTCCAAGTGAAGTGCCCAAGACCAGAGGGTGACCTTTAAAAAAAAATTAACTTGAATTTTTGTCAGAATTAAATAGTAACTGTTTTTATTCATAACAGTGCAAGTTTTCTGTCAAGTCATACTTACATTTTTTTAATATCCTCCCTTCTTGAATTTTGGCGTGTAAAGTTATTTTTCATTAGTAACAAATTCTCAGTTAAAGTTGGCCTGGTTTTCTTTTTAGTTTCCCTACCGAGGACCAGCAGTTTTGCAAGTGTACTCGGATCTGATATGCCCATTACATACACTGAAGTTTAGTCTGCTGGCCACTTATACGTGAAGTCCACCCTGTATCAAAGCACACTCAACTGCGTAGTCCTGATCACTCAAAACATTTTAGTCACTGTACTGCACATAATTTGCCAATCCACAGTGCTCATGTTCCAAGTGTTGTAGCAATGTCATCGATTTTGTTTCTAGCAAATGGGCATTGTGGCTTGACACGGGTCTGTGAACGCAGAGCCAAATGTAAGTTTGATATGTAACTTACACTAACAAATTCCGTCAAAATGGATTTAGGTTTATCTCCACTCCAGACAGAATCTTATGAATTCACTCATTTTAGATGCACCTCCAGGCTCGGTGCAGTGATATATTCAGCCCAAAAATGGCCAGTTACACATGAAGTCAAAGCTGGAGAGAAAGCCTGATTTGGAAAAGGGTCAAATGCAAAGATTTCAACCTATCTGCCCTGTTCTCTGCCCCGAGCTGAAGTGCACCCTCACTGGCAAAAGAAAGACTTATGGTACTAAGATTTCCAACTGGGTTCTTGCACGTATTCTGCGTGCACATGAAGACCATATTGCAGCGTATGCAGTGAATGTGAGGAAACGTCTGTCAGTGTTATTTCCACATATGCCCTCTTTTGTTCCTGTGCAGAGCGGAGAGTGCTGATTGGCCAGTCCACATGCAGCACTTTGGCAAGTGGGGACTGATGCCATAGTTGGAGCATATTAACATCATTTACTCTCACAATCAATAATTGAAATGCGGCGATGAAACACAGTATGAAGTGTGATGTTTTACATTTACATGAGGCACGAACTGTTTGGTATGGCAACCACATAGCACCACACATGAAGAATCTAAGATGTTACAGCAAACCACTCAACCGTTCCACTTAGTCTGTGCCATTATACTTGGCTGTTTGGAAAAATCACTCAGATTGGTAAAAATTCATCACCCAGTGTTTGCTTTTTTTTCCATCATGCAGAATATCTTCTGTCACTTGCTATGTAAATAAATGGTCCTTATGATGTGAACTCTTGATGACTACCCCGCTGGTTTCTGTGCATTTTGTTGAGGTGGTCAGCTGCTTACCAGCTGCAGTAGGAGGCAGGGTAGTGTTCGGTTGCCATAGTGACAGGTTAGAGGAGAGTCTCTTTGCTGCAGCAGCTGTTCCTTTATTTCATCTTCAGTTTTGTTACTTGTTTCTTTTATGTATAGTTTAACGTACTTTTTCTCTCTAAACCAAGATGTACATTTCTTTGAATGTGATGTAAGGCAATAACATTAAAATTTTAAAGTGCTTAATAGTTTTTTTAAATCCAGTTGAAACAGATGTGCTTGGTGTAACCTGCAGTGGGTTTTTTTTTGGTCAACTATTCATTTGTGTTAAGGTGTAGAGAGTCTGCCATTTAAGTTATTGTACCTTGTACCAAGAGAGTCAATTGAACTTGGCAAAGGTTGGGATAAATAACTTTTCCGGTTGATATTTCTTCACAAGAGGTCACTCAAATGAATATATAATGAGACACATACATTTGAAATTGTCTGGATGTTTTTGTTTTCAGCAGAGTAGGGTCCGTGGAATTCACAAGCATGTAATATTAAGCACAGTTGTGGGAAATCTAGGGTCAACTGGAAGAGAGTTCCGTTTTAGTAACTGAATGTGCTGAAGACCTCATTTTGTTTTTGTTTTGACCTGTGCATGCTTGATTAGAAATTGAATTATGATTTCTGGTAATATCTTCAAGATGTGTAATTGTGAACAAGTGGTGACCATCTTGAATTTGGACAAGGTATTCTGAGTAATAAACACACCTTTTTAAAAAAAAAAAGACTTCTGTAAATTTGTCCAATATGTATTGTTCTAAAGCACTTTGTCAGAAGATTTTTATATACACTACACATTACGTCATTGAACAAACTACAATGGTAAATGGCTTTTTGTGGATTCATATTTTACAGTATGGGTCAAATTCACCATTGCATGCTCACTACTGCACAATTTTTCCTGGCCAGATGTTAGCCATTTCCCAACTGTAATTTACTCTTAGATTCCAAGTTCGAAAGCTGTGGAATTGTTCAAAGTAGTTGCACTGGTACCCTGCTTGTGCACACACAGGTTGTGTTAAATACCTCTTTGGCCAGCACTGGGCTTTGCCACAATGCTTGCATTACCCTATAGCAATATCATCTACTTGGATCAGTCTGTACACTGAGCATACCCATAACACTGCAAACCTAATAATCAGGGGGTTAAGAGAGTAGAACCACACACTTTCATTGAGACTTTTATCAATCCGTTTTCTTTTTTTCAACTGGGTGAATAATCAAGCATTAGATTAAGATTCCTTAAGAACAGCAGTCCATTCTTGATGACTGCCTTTAAAGTTAATAACCCTCAGTTTTAATAGCTAATTTCACTGAACTTGCGGAATGGAAACTCCTCAATCTTGCCTAACCAGTTCCCAAAATGTGTTTTTTAGTGTAGATTATAAGCGTTTATAGTTGAGACCTCTAATGGACATTGCAAGAGCCCACAATATATACCAAGACCACCGACGTTAATTCATCATGAGCTATTCAAATGAACAGCAACAAAAGTGTACTTTTGTTAATGTTCACCCTCTTCTATGTAACTGGACTTGTGATGCAGTCAACAGTCAAGTAATGCAATCATTTGCCAATGCAGAAGTCTTGAAATACCACGTCCAAGATCTCTTCCACCCCCACTCTGCCTGTAATCTTCCCAAGATGCCTCAGTGCAATGCGGAGTTGTTCAGCAGCCATGACAAGGTCCTCTTGGCTGGCAAATGCCTCTAGAGCGGCAAGGCAACGGGTCAAGTTGCTACGGTGACGGGCTTGCGTCAAGCTAGGGTTGCCAAGGAGGGGGTTTCCACACCTGGCAAGAGAAAGAGAATAAATAAAGGGAGGATACAATTTATCTGGCTTTAGTTCACGGGGGGGGGGAGTGAAAACATACCAAGCTGGTTTTCTCAACGCTTTTCATACCAAATAAAAGGTGGGGAATTTGTTCAATTTCATAAAAAGAAAAAAAATAATAATTTCTTAAACTTAAAAACCAGGCTTCATATCAGACTTCGGATGAGTATTCATCAGATGACCTGCAATGGTACCTGACCTCTAAATCTCAATGGAACTCTTCAAGCATTACTTATAAATATTTTTGATTGCTATTTGAAAACCAGAAATAAAACTTCTGATGAATAATCTCGCCTTTCTGAGCTCATCCTGTCATTTCCTTTCTCACAAACATTTCATTTTTGCACAATGAGACAACATGCTGAAAATGAGAAAAGGTAAAATAACACTTACAGGGCTTCGACCTTTCTCCTCAAGATTGCCAGAAGGTTTTCCATTCCTTGGCCCGTTTTACAGGAAATAATGCAAACAGATCTCTCATCTTGACCTTTCTCATTACGATACTGTCCAAGAGCAGATTCTAGCACAACGAATGCATCCTTTACCTCATCACCAACAAGGTCTGATTTGTTAATCACAAAGATTGAGTCCTTTTGAATCATTGTCCCATCTAAAGTAGCATTCTCTGGTAACATTGACCTCTGGGTTGAGGCAAAGGTTGAGGCTGCGGTCTCTTGAAGCCTGCTTTCTAAGAAGGTAGTAAACTTGTCACCGATACTGCCTGCTGAGGAGGAGGCTATGCAATTGTGAATGTCACTAGCTTCTGTCATGACGATGGTTAAGTCAGCATTCTCGGCCCTGTGTTTAAAAAATCAAAAACAGCAATTCAGTTTGCAATGAAGAACTCCCAACTCAGTGGAATTATGCAGCAAACGACAAGGTGCCAATTTTCTGATTTGCTGCATACAGGAGCATGTTCAAAATGACTGTGCACTTTATATGTGTGGTATTTGAAAGCTATTTTACACCACCTCAGTGGGCTGGTTCCGAAGAATTGACCAGACTTGTCCGGTCACTTTCACCTTTTTTTACAATTTTAGCACAGTTGTTCCATTTACGGTTCACACAAGACCTTGATTAAGCTTTGTGTGTGTTGTCTGGTGAGCTTGCTTTAACCCATTGACGACGGGAATTTCTTCCCGAAAGCCGACTCCAAGAATTCCAGCCTTGATTGGCCACAAAGGCCACCTGCCAAACCGCAGATTTTCAGTTTGTGGCCCTGCGTGCTCTGCA